ATTTCATTTCATTCCACACAGGAGTGAGTGGAACTGCTGTAGAGTTTTTGCCCAGCCAAACCCTAGGGAGTAGATTAATTCAAAACTCCATGGAGGAGTTTTTGTTTGGTTGGTTTTTTTGAGAAATAACCAGAAAATATCAGAAATCCTATGGCTACTCAATAAGATATGTTGGTACAGAATCCAAACTCATATGTTTAACTTAGTACTTTGAAGGAGCATTGTGGCTTGAAATATAAGTGCTTGTTCAAATTAATACAGAAATCAGACTATTTACTAATTACTTGTTCTAGGAATGTTTTTGAATGAAAGTTTTGGACACTTTGTTTCCTTTTAGCATTTCAGAGTGGGAACACTGTTGCTTGTACTATGGAACAAGCTGGAAACACAGTGCCATTAGAGTCTGAAGCTAATACTGACAACATGGAAAACAGTTCTCCTGGTAAGAGTTCTTCCTTTGCAATTGAAAATGCTTATTTGTCCATTATGTATGTGTGTGTGTGTTACATGTGTGTAAATTATTTTAAATAACTCAAGAGTTGTAACAGGAACAGCAGGATTATGTTGCCACAGTGATCAGCACTGTATTTAATTGCTACTGCTTTTGTATTACATTCACAAGAAAATACTTTATCTGTTTTGAGGCTCATCATACGAACTAGAGATACACAGATGTTACAAAGAAAATGACACATTGGAAAAAGGTTTTATCAAAGCACATCATTCATCACCACCACTTTATTAATCTTTCCCTTGCTTTTTAGCATCAATGTTGGATGATAAAGGAGAGCAAAGCAATGAGGAGGAACAAAAGTCTGTCAAGCCAACAAGTAAAGAGTTCAGGAAAACCTGGGGTTTTCGGAGGACCACGATTGCCAAGAGAGAGGGTGCAGGAGATGCTGATGTGGACTCCAGTGAGCAGCAGCCTCAGCAGCAGCAACAAGGCATAAACCTCAGGAGGAGCGGGCGGCAGCCAAAGCGCACAGAGAGGGTGGAAGAGTTCCTGACCACGGTGAGGCGCAGGGGGAGGAGGAGTGTTCCCACTATCCTGGAGGACTCCAGTGAAGCAGCCTCTGGGCCAGCCACTGATGCTGAAACTGCTTCTGAAGACAGTGTTGAGAGCACTCCAGATACAAAACCTGTCACTCGGAGGATTTGCACCAGGAGTTGTAAGGAGCAGAAAAGCCCTAAAAGCAGACCCCCAAAAGAGGAAGAGGAAGAAGAGGAGGAGGAGGAGGAAGAAGAAGATGCTACTTCTGATAGTGACAGCGATGGGTTGACACTAAAGGAACTGCAAAATCGGCTAAGAAAGAAACGTGTAGAGCAGAAATCTCCTCAGCTGGTGTTGAAGGATGTGCAGAACCATCTGAGGAAAAGGAATTCAGAGCAAGATCCTTCCAAAACAGGTGATGTCACACTTGGAAAACAGGATGAGTCTGAGCTGCCTGTCAAACAGGAGCCTGAGACTGCAGACAGCACTGAGATCGCGAGTCAGGTGGTTGTGTGTGAGGACACTGAAGATCTTGAGGCTCAGAAGGAGGAGAAGCCTGCCCTTGTTGCAAAGGGGGCCTCAGATGAGGAACCTGAAGAACAGCCCAAAAGCAAACCTGAGTCTGAAATCTATGACCCAAATGCCCTGTACTGTATTTGTCGTCAGCCTCATAACAACAGGTAGGCAAAGGGCTCAGCTGCAGACACTGTGCAAGAATTTTGGAATTTTTCTGTGATAAAAAAATTAAGCTAGGTGCTAGTGCTTACTTTTTGAATGAGCTTTTGGGTTTGTTGAATTTTGGCAGGGAGTTCTGAACAAATACTTAAAAGAGGATAAACAGATACAGAAATAACCAGTAAGGCAGAGCCGTGCACTGGTGCTTTATTGGGGTGCTGTAGTTGTGTTGCTTGAAATATTAATTGAACGTTAATTCTCTTTTCATTTTATAGTGTTTTACTGTTCCTTGGTGTTTTTTTTTTCCAGGTTTATGATTTGTTGTGATAGATGCGAGGAATGGTTTCATGGTGACTGTGTGGGTATTTCTGAGGCTCGAGGGCGATTGTTGGAGAGGAATGGTGAGGACTATATCTGTCCAAACTGCACCATTCTCCAGGGACAGGATGAGCCTGTTTCAGAACTAGACCAGCAGGAAGCTAAAATGGAGCAAGGAAATGTGGATGGCACAGAATTCACAAGCATAGGAACAATTGAACAAAAATCGGTTGAGGACCAAGGAATCAAGGGTAGGATTGAAAAAGCTGCAAATCCGAGTGGGAAGAAAAAACTAAAGATATTTCAGCCTGTAAGTATTGCTTCTTGTTTTTCATGTTTCACTGAGTACATGCAGACAATGACCTGTATGGTTATAAATCTGACTTGATTTAAAAGGTATGCATAAGCTGAACAGCCCACTGAACACTTCTGGTTAGCAGAAGTTTATCCATAGTTCTATCAGTACAGGAATTAAAACTCAGTTTCAATGAGGGATTTAAAAGTTTGTGCTGTTCTGCCCTTTTTGAATACTGTTTTGCAAGTCAAATAATGTAGTATTCTTTTAATAAAAATATTAGAATCCTGTGCTGTTTTATACTATCTTTGAAATAATCTCAAACATTTTGAACATTTTCAATGGTAATGAAACTTTTTACTTAACATGAACAAGACTGTTGGAGTTAATTCCAGCTGCACTTCCAGTTAGTCTTTGAAGTTCTGATTTTTGTCCTGAAGCTGCTTTAGGTTATCAGCAAATAGAGAATTTCTTTATACTGTCTTTTTAAATTTAAAAATGTGCATTTTTAAATTTCAAAATTTGAAGTTTAAATTTTGTAATATAAAGTTCCATGCCCAATTGGAAAGGCTTAGAAGCTTATTCAGCTTAATGTACCTGAACTGAAAAAAAGATCTAGTGCTACAGTGGTTGTCTTTCTTCTGCCTAAGGTACTGCAGTAGTGCCAGTGTCTTGGACATTTCCCTTTTGATTTCAGAGCTGTCCATGGCAGCACAGTGAGATTAATGTATAGATAGAACAGTTTGAGCTGAATAGATAAATATTTGCACATTTAAGATAAGTGTATGGAAAACAATATTCTCAAAAATATTTTCAAATACATTTGTACACCTTTGTACACAAAGGTTTTTGAGAGACCGTTGGTGTTGGTTCTGCTACTGAATATCACCAAGTGCTCTTTATCTGTACTTCTCTGTTAAGAGTGTACATAATGGGAAAATTCCCAAATCCAGGTTTTATCAGGCTGGTGCAGATAAAGCTGTGTACTGACTTTTGATTGCAGAGAAGTCAATCACACGATGAAAATAATATTTACTTAACTGGAAACATTCCTGAAAATTTTGGTAATTTCAAATGATGAGAGGTTGTTTAGAACTACAGTTGTTGTAGTGTCTTGTATCATTTTTAGGAATAATTTAGAAGAGACACTAAAAGCATAATACCCAGAGGTGATAGGTTGAAGCCTAAAAAGCTTTCAAGTATTTCTAGACTTCAGCTTAATGCACTCTGTTTTCAAGGAATGTGTTATTTTCTGTATCATAACATTGGAAGAGGAAGTTCTTCATCTATAACACCCTAACATAAATGGAGAGTAATTTTGAATTAGAGGAAAATTCAGGTTGCGGAGACAAACCTATAAATGTGCAAGGAGTAGGAGGTTATGTGAAAGTTGTGTATAAGAATTTAAGTTAGAGACTTCTAAAATTGAAATTGGTAAAACCTCTAGAGCAAGAATAAGCTGTACACCTGAATATCTGAGTGCTTCCTCTTACATGTGTGCATGGGCGAAGATAGCAGCCGATGGGGATGCTTTAGAGACCTTGCTGTTGAGAACCCAGCTTTGCATTATTAAGGACATTTCTCACATGATGTAAAAAGCATTTGTGTACTTACGGGATTTGAAAATGTAGGAAACGAGCCTCTTTTATTCAGGGCTAGCAGAGCAGCCACTTGGAAATGCAGCATATACTGAGAAAAATGTGTTAGAGAAGTGAAATTCTAACCTTTGTATGGGTTATTTGTGTTGTGTCATGAACAGCTGTTGTCCTCGCTCTGGCAGTTGTGCAGGTCAGAGCTGCAGAGTCTGCACATGAGCTGTGTCAGCATTTCTCCATGCTGCAGAGGCTGCTCCTGCTGTTTACCCTTTGAAGTCTGACCTCGCTCCATTTCTCTCTGTATTTGAAGGTAATTGAAGCTCCTGGTGCTTCCAAGTGCATTGGCCCTGGCTGTTTCAACGTGGCCCAGCCTGACTCCGTGTACTGCAGCAATGACTGCATCCTCAAACACGCAGCTGCCACCATGAAGATCTTGAGTTCTGGCAAGGATGCAAAACCAAAACCTAAAGAGAGGATCAAACCGAAATCTGAAAAACCTGGCATACCAAAGTCTCAGCAGCAGGTAAGCTTGTGTTCATGATCCAGAGCAATTGCACTGGAGCACTGTGCCTTATTTCTGTGCTCTGCTTTTTGACTCAAATAAAACTGCCAAGTCCTGCATTGAAGAGGAGCTTTCTGTTACTTTTTTTATTATTCTCTTGCCTTTTCCTGTGGTAAAGACAATAAAATGTTTTTCGGTCATTTAAAAAAAAAATCTTAATAATTGCCTCTAGATGGAGATAGTTCCTTGCAAGGGTTTTCTAGATGGCAACGACTTTAAAAAAGTACTGTTTTAAGTATACATCTTTATTTTACTTGAAGTCAAATTAATTTTGCCTTCTTACACTAAACTTCACATTACCAGGTTTTGGAGTAATCAGTTTCAAATGGTGCACTATAAAAGTAAGGAGTTTACTATAAAAGAAACAGGTGTACATGTGTATAACTCTTGGCTTGTTTGTGAAATGCAATATATTTGATGATTATTCATAATCAGGCTTCTTTTATTTATCCAGGTGGGCAGCAAACCAGTTTCAAACCAGAAGAGACAATTCCCTGAGAAAAGAGAGGTGAATGTGAAGAAGACTGTTGTGAGCACAGCCAAGACTGAGGCAAACACCCAAGCTCCTGCTCGAGAGCCAGTGGCAGAACCCGTCACGCCGTCCTGGGCCAGTGATCATAATTACAATGCTGTAAAGCCTGAAAGGACTGCTGCCATTTCACCTGCACTGTTGTTCAAATGTATGTATGGCTTAGGGATATTCCTGAATAATCATATTTTCTTTGAATACCCATCCATTCTTGGCTCTGCAAAACTAGGGAGTTTAGAATTTGGGGTTTTTTTTCTTACTGTGGCACCAAGCTACTTTCCTCCACCTTCAAAGATTCACACATAGATGCACACAAATGAGAGACACTTATAGGAGTTTCATATGTATCATATGACAGTTGTATGATTAAGAGCCTGTCAATCTACCCAGCTGATTTCTGGATGAAAACTACATGGTTAAGCTTGAAATTTTTCCCATAAAGAAAGTGTCTGTTTCTAATCTAGAGGTAAGTATTGAGACATTTGTGTTAAGTTTTACAAAAAGGTTGTACACTGTGCACTGTGAATCAGCAATTGCCTATACTAATTTCAATTGTATTTTTGTAATTTAGATTTGGCACCTGTCTCTCAGGTCTTGCATTTTCAGTGCCGGGTGCCAAGAGTGAAATCTTCAGCGTGGTATCCAACGATACTTGACACCTCTGCAAACAGCTTTTAACTGTCAAGTATTCTCCTGCTGCTTTTCTTTCTTACATGAAATAACTTACAGACCGTCCTCTACTTTTATGCTGGGGGGGAGGCAGAACTGTTATCTTCATTTTGGTTTTTTTCCCCCCCTTTCTCTGTTCATATTCCACACATGATCCACACACACAAGAGCACATCTCAACTGGATTTTGGGCAGAGATACTGCCTTACATATTTTTGCAGGTTTTGAGTAGCATCCTTGTAAGTCATGCAAAGGTAAGTAAATACTGCTTTGAAGCCTCAACAAAACTTTTTGCTTATGACATTTTTTTTTATTGACTCACTTTGAGTAGTTTTATAATGCAGCTATGGAACTGGAACTTGGGATGAAATCTGACATTTCAGTTACCAACCATGTGACCTCCACTTTACTCCTTTGAAAAGTAATGAATCAGAAATTCAGTTCTCACAGCTTCTGTAACCACACTTCAGCCAATATACATTTTATTTTGATAAGTAAACCTAATTATTGAACACTTACATCTAAAGTAACTGATAACGTTATAAATAATATTTGAGATGAGATTTTCTACTTAGAGCTTTAAAGCACTGAGGGAACACCTACCCTAAATTGCTGTTGATGAACATAGCACATACCAGGTATATTTTAATGGTCATTACCTACATCAAGTTAAATGATTGTAGTTTTTCTCTGTGTATTTTTGCTGCATATTAGGCCCTTGTCCTCTTGTATAGTAAACTGCCTTAAGGTACATATTTTAATTAACTTCATTCCTTTTAGGCTCTTCTAAAGAAAATTTAGCTTTTTTTATCAGAAACATTAGTGTTTTAAACCTAACTAAAATTAGTAAAAAGATATAAATTAAACTATAAGAGCTTATTTTATGTCAGATTTTTCTGACTCTGACAATTACAGATGTCCATGGAACTATTTCACTTAAAATGTTCTTATTCCTACAGGGCTTGTTTTTTTCCTAAGAGACAGGAATACAGGTTTTGAGGCAGGAAGTTTGATGGGGTTTTTTTAAGGTAGTTTGCTCTTAAGATTTGCTACACTGTAGGTTTTACAGATTTAACCACTTCCAGTAGAAAACTGGATTCCTGCAGCTAAATAGTGAAATTTATTCCAAAACATTGTAAATACTAGACTTTAGCAACAAATAGAGAACAGCCTAGTTCATGTGATGAAGAACTCTCATATCAAATGTAAGGAAGAGTTTCAGTTTTTCTTTTAAGGTAAGTTGCATTGATATGTGGGAACTCTGCTGTTACTAAATGTCCAGATAAATTGTTTGTGTATTTGTAAAAAAAGTGTCCTGCTTTTCAGTGGATAGGTCTGAGCTGTAATCTTCCTGAGAAGCTGCCAATGCACCATCTGCAAAAGTGGCAGATTTTATTTCTTTAAGAAATTGTTACATGCTGCTCAAAACCCAAGAGTTACAGCATTAGGGAAATTCATGAGAGTCATCTCACTTCATTTCAGGTATCTAAGAGTGAGAAGTCTCTTAAGTCTGAACTAGTCTGTCAAAGAAAATGTTTAGTGGACCAAACATAATCTGGTTTAGATGCAAATCTTAAAACTGAGCAACTCCCAGTTTAGAAATGTGCATTTCTGAACATTGAATATGAAGGACTTGTAGTCCAGAAGAGGCAAAGGACTTCCAAATGCAATATTTCAGAAGGCTGCCCGTGTTCTTCAGAGCTTCCAGCCATGTTCACCAAATCCTTGTTTGCAATTTCAGTGCAGGTGGCCTTTTAGGCATTCAGAAAACTTAACCAGATTGACAGAATTACTCTATAATACTCTTTACATCAAACTGTGTATAATTTCAGACATAGATTTATTTTATGTATTTACTCAGTACTTATGAGTTACAAGATTTTGTTGTTATTATGTGAGGTTGTTTTGTTAAGTAGTACTAAGAAAATCAAGTCATTCCTAAAGATGTACTGGGTGGTCAGAGCATGTAGGGTATTTGCATCTAAGCCTACCACCAGGGCCCTTCTCCCAACCTGTTCTGCAGTTGTTTAGAAAAGGGATATTTGGTGCTACTACTGTGCAGTTATCAAGAACAGTCATATTTTTTTCCTTCTGTTACCCCATTACTTTGTGTGTTTTCACTTCCTAAGTTCCCTGTGTTCCCCTAAGTTTCTTTTGGGGATATGAGTTAGGGTTGTACTTTGAAGTGACTTGGTACACCAGAATCTGGTGCCTGAAAAATGATACGTATCTTCCATCTTTCTGTGCCCAGTGAAAATAATCATTTTGATTAATTAAAAAACTAGCATGGGAAATACCTGGATTTGATAAACAAACATTAAGTACTTCCGAAGTTTCAGACAGCATTTGAAGTACATATATAAAAGGAAATTAGCTTGGAGTCGTATTCCCTTACAGAAGAGTTGCTTTTACTTTTGTTAGGAAATTTTGTGTTAATTTAATATGCAGTACTCAGCTTTTATATTGCATTTCAACAGTCATCCTGGCTTCCAAATTCACACAAGTATGTGGATTGTTGAGATTTAGGAACATTGTTCAAAGATCCATATTACAACAGCAACACTTTTAACACTTTTTTTCTGTATTTTTGCTAATGATTGTCAAGCAGAAGTCAGTAGCAAATGCAATTTTAAAATAGAAAATGAATCCCAAAGGAGGGGAAGAGGATAAGCATTTGCAGTATCCCAGTTTTTAAACTACCTGGTCCTAAGAATGCTGAGTATTCATTAGTGCTTTAAAGCTTTGAAGTTCACCTGATTTGTTAATATATATACACAAGGTGATAATTTACTCAATTCAGGTATTAAAATGGTTTAAATATCTTGCCTGCTTTTCCTGAGAAGAGCAACTAAGCATGCAGGAGAATGAGAAGGGTTTATTAGATAGAAACTCAAAGGCTTAAGTTAATGTTCTTGTGGGAAAACTTCAGAGCACTTGTCACACCAAATCACTAAACTTGTGTTTACATGAACTGCAGATAGATACCATGTGAATTTACAGCAAATTATGTTCATACCTTATTTGGTACCAGTATTTCACTAAAGTTCTTAATGAGTGGGGTTTGGAAAAGGGGGAGTGTTTCCTTCAGAGAAAACGTCAATGTGTGTGGTCCTGCTCCTGCTTCCCAGCAGGGAATTCCGAAGAGACAACTCTGCCACCTCCTGGAAGTGGGAGCCCTGGCTCTGGTGATACAGATTTCCTTTTGTTACCTGTTCTCAGTATTTTTAATCTCTTCTACATCTGAACTTTACCACACACAAAGGGAATAGGACATGCATGTGTAGTTACAGATCTTGCACTTTGTTCCTGTACACCTCTAACAAAATAAGGAGACTTTGACAATGCAACACAGGGATAGTGGGATGCCCCACCAGCAGAAATTGCTGTTTGTATCAAAATGGCAGGATTATTTTATAGTATGCATAATTTGTGTGCATTTGCTTGTGTTTTTTTTCCTTTATGTAATAACAGCACGAAGACAGGAAAGAAAGAAAGTAAACCACTCTACAGAGAGCAGGGGGAAGAGAATGCACTAAAGACAGGATTTATGGCTCAGGAAGTAGTAGTGATGTAGGGAGCTGTAAGTACTGATATGAAGAGTAAAAGATAAGGTCTTGTCTACCCACAGGCTGGTGCCAATTTAATGCTGCTCTTCAGGCAAGATTATGCCACCTGAAGTTGTGGCTGTTGAGTGCAGTGGATGTGGATATACTGCTGTTGGTTTAGCTTAACTTAAAATACATTTTAGTAAAACTTCACTTTTTAAGCCATAGATATGTTTGCCTGCAAGGACTGACAGATTATTGGTAAACTGGATTCTTTTGGGTATGACTGCCTCCCCACAGGAAAAACTAGGCTGTACGATTCTATACTGTTGTTACTGAAGTACTGCTGGCATCTGAACTGACTCCTAGAAAGACAAGGTGTCTTCCTTAATGCTGTATGCTGCAATGTAGGCCCATCCTGAGAGGCAGTAAGTATCAAGTAGTACCAGGGAAATTAATTACTGATTTTGGTACTGTCCACTTTCTGGGACACCTGGCTGCCCTGTATAGCGGTCTGGCCTAAATGTTTGAACTAGAGAAGTTTTCTGAAGGGCTGACAGACCAATAATGATCAGCTTACTCAAGATGAGTCTGCCAGAAGTTCTGAGAAATTCACCTTGAAGACTTGGCTTTGGAAGGGTTGTACAGGAGAATAACCTGATGGCTCCAGTGCTGAACTCCCATCGTGAGACTGGCAGGGGCTGTGCTGGCCTGGGGCTGGCACGAGACCCAAGCCCTGCCTGTGGAGGGAGGCAGACCATAATTGTGCTGAAGCCAACGTCCCCTGGGACCCAGCCAGTTAAAAGGAGCAGTGGGATCCTTGGGGAGCTGTTTTCATCTCCTGCCTGTGAACTACTGGAGCTCCCCTTCTCTGCTCTGCAAGGTATGTCACACGTGCCCTGTGGCTGGCAGCCACGTGAAGATTTTTGCCATCTCT